TTTTGCTGTGATTTATGTCAGAGAGTGTTCTGCCTATGTTTTCCTATAAGAGTTTTATATCAACTCTATAAAATTTTAAGTAGTTACTTAAGACTACATTATATCCATTAATAACTCAAGGCTAGATTATATCTGTTAATATTCATTAATAATTACATCTGTAATTCACTTGTGACACTCAACTGTGCCTAATGTCACTGGCTGGTATTGTTTGATAAATAGTGAAAATGGATTAATTAATCAAGAATGTGGATGAAGCTCAGCAGCCTAACAGCGACTTTAAAAACATGAGACTTACAAAAAAAAAGGGACTTCCCTGGCAGTCCAGTGGTTAATACTCTCTGCTTCCACTGCAGGCAGTGTGGGTTCGACCCCTGATCAGAGAACTAAGATCCCACATGCTACCTTGTGTGGCCAAAAAAAACCAAGTTCCATGCGGGATGTAAAACGGTGCCAGCACTCTGGAAGAGCTTGGCAGTTTCTTTAAAAACAAACCATCAATAAAATGAAAAGAACAGAACACACTCTAACACCATACACAAAAATAAAATGGATTAAAAACTTAAATGTTAGGCCAGATATTATAAAAATTTTAGACGAAAACATAGGGAGAACACTCTCTGACATAAATCACATCAAGATCTTTTTTGATTTACCTCCTAGAATAATGAAAATAAAAACAAATGGGACCTAATTAAACATGAAAGCTTTTGCGCACAAAGGAAACTATAAACAAAAAGAAGAGAAAACCCTCACAACTAACTCATGGAGCTCAATATATATATATAGAAAAAAAAAACAGTCCACAATCAAAAGCCGGGCAGAGGATCTAAACAGACGTTTCTCCAAAGAAGACATACAGAAGGTTATAAAGCACTTGAAAAGATGTTCAATATCACTAATTATCAGAAAAATGCAAATCAAAACTACAATGAGGCATCGCCTTACACTGGTGGAATGGCCATCATCAAAAAAATCTACAAACAGTAAATGCTGGATCTTACACTGTTGGTGGGAGTGCACACTGATATAGCCACTGTGGAGAAGAGCACAGAGGTTCATTTCAAAACTGAAAATAGAACCACCATATGGACCAGCAATCCCACTCCTAGGCACATATCCAGAGAAACTCAAAATTTGGAAAGACACATGCACCCCAGTGTTCATTGCAGGACTATTCACAATAACCAGGATGTGGAAGCAACCTAAGTACCTATCAACAGAGGAATGGATAAAGAAGATGGGGTACATATATACCTATGCAATGGAATATCACTTAGCTATTAAAAAAGAACAAAATAACGCCATTGGCAGCAACATGGGAAGACCTGGATATTATCACACTGAGTGAAGTAAGTCAGACAGAGAAAGTCAAATATCATGAGATATTGCTTATATGTGGAATCTTTAAAAAGCTTACCTATGAACTTATCTACAAAACCAAGTTACTGTACATACGTAGAAAATAAGCTTTCGGTTACTGGGTAGGGAGTGAGGCGGGAGGAATAAACTGGGAGACTGGGACTGCCACGTGTGCGCTGAGTCACTAAGTCATGTTCGACTCTGCGACCCCATGGCCTGTAGCCCCCCAAGCTCCTCTGTCCATGGGATTCTCCAGGCGAGAACACTGGAGTGGGTTGCCAGGCCCTCCTCCAGGAGATCTTCCCGACCCAGGGATGGTACCTGAGTCTCTTGTGTCTGCTGCACTGGCAGGTGGGTTCTTTCCCGCTAGACCCACCTAGGAAGCAGTAAACAGCACTATATATAAGATAGGCGACAAGTAAGAGCCACTCATAGCACAGGGACTCTGCTCAGCACCCGGCAACGGCCCACGTGGGAAAGGATCTTAAAAAGAATGGACACGTGTGTTTGTATAATAGGTTCACTCTGCTGTACGCCCGAAACTAACACAACGTTGTAAATTATACCCCAATGACATTTAAAAAAATAAAAAAAGACAACATACTGAATGGGAGAAAATATCTGCAAATAACATAACCAAGTGAGTGAAAGTCGCTCAGTCGTGTCAGACTCTTTGTGACCCCCTGGCCTATACAGTCCACGGAATTCTCCAGGCCAGAATACTGGAGGGGCAGCCTTTCCCTTCTCCAGGTTTCTTCCCCACCCGAGGATTGAACCCAGGTCTCCTGTATTGCAGGCAGATTCTTCACCATCTGAGCCATAAGGGAAGTCCATATAACCAACACGGAATTCATATCCAAAACATATAAACAGCTTGTACAGTATCAAAAAAAATTTTAAATGGGCAGGAAAATATTGAATATCTAGGCCGTACACCTGAAGCGACCATAATATTGTAAATCGACTATACTTCAATTTTTAAAAAAAAGAAAAGAAAAAATAAGGAAAAACATGCAAAAGACCTGAAGAAACATTTTTCAAAAAAGATACACAGAGGGCCAGCAGAAACCTGAAAAGACACTCAACATCATACATCATCGGGGAAATGCAAAACAGATCCACAATATTACCTCACACCTGTCAGATCATTTATCAAAAAGACAAGAAATAATAAGAGTTGGCGAGAATGTGGAGAAAAAGGAGCGCAAGTGCACTGTTGGCGGAATGTAAGCTGGTGCGGCCAGGATGGGATACAGCACCATTTCCTCAAGAAATTAAAAATAGAACATATGATGCAGAAATTACACTTGGGAGTATCTTTCTGAAGGAAACAAAATAATTTATTTTAAAAATTTTGAATTGAAGTATTATAGAAAACTTTAGTGTGTCTCTGTGCAGGCTACACTTGTGTCCTCTCATCTTTTTTATTTAAGACTTTAACAGTTTTCGTCAGCAGCCCCATTTCATCAGCCTCAAGAAACTGGCCTTCCTCAGCTTCTCAAGAATATTAAACAGAAACCCTGCAGCTTTTAAAAACAGAAACCTCACAGCTACCCTTAGTTTTCTATCTCACTGATTTTGGATTTTTGTTTAGGTTGACAGTTTATTAAATACACTATATTTGTACTTTATTCTGTAACTTTTTAAATCATTAATCATTCACACATGGACTTAGTAAAAATGTACTTTATAGAAAACCATCTGCAAAACTAAAATAAAAATTAAAAAGCACATTTTGCCCATGCTACATAAACTGCTCAAAATATTAGAAATTACTTTACTTAAGGTGATCATGAAACATAAGATGGCTTGATTTCATTAAATCTGACAGCAGACCATGACTTCGGGGGTATTAATGTTGAAATGTGGATGCAAAAATGTCTATTAACTAAATTGTTTCATAGTGTTTGAGAAACAGGACAAAAGAAAGCACTATTTTTCCTTTACAGACAGACACTTCTGTATATCCATTTTCTATACACTTTCTCTCCCACTCATAGAATTAGTTGTGCAAACTGATGAGGCAAAAAAAATCCCTTAAAATTTTTTTTAAAAACCTAGATCCTATTTATAAAACATGCAAAGGGAGAATTTTAAGTAGGTGTTATGGCAGAACCGGTTAAAGGTATAAATACAGTCAAGAGACAGAATATACCTTTACTTCTGCAAATATAAGTCATTCTCCCCTCCTTTCTGAGAGAAATACATCTTCAAGGTGTGGGCTGTAAATCAACATACAATGCAAAGACAAAAACAAAGATGTTTACAAATTCTCCATATTTCCAACTCTTGAGACAATATTTTTTGAGAGGTGAGGTCACCTTGAGCAGCAAAACCAGAGCTAGCTCTTAAGCAGCCAGAATACTACAGTAATTGGATACATGACCATTTCTCTTTTAGCAGGCCTTTGTTCTCCTCTTCCAGAAGTTGTAGAGCTACTTAGTTTATCTGTCATCTTAATGAAGCTGTATCTACAAGAGTCATATCATCCAAAGTTCCTCTAGTTGTTCTATCTATATTTGAAACGCCACACCTGACCTTGTCAAGATGTGGATCAGAAGTGGCAGCAGCAGACCCACCACGCAACACAGGTATGGAGTCAAGTTCTGACCAGCTGTCAATTTCGGCCAATAGCATTTTCTTTCGTGGGCTTCCTGGGTGGTGCTAGTGGTAAAGAACCTGCCTGCCAATACAGGAGATGTTTAAGAGAAGTGGGTTCAATCCCTGGGTCAGAAAGATCTCTTGGAGAAGGGCATGGCAACCCACTCCAGTCTTGCCTGGAGAATCCCATGGACAGAGGAGCCTGGTGGGCTACAGTTCATAGGTTCACAAAGAGTCAGACACTACTGAAGTCACTTATCGTGCACACATCACATTTTCTCTCATAAAGCGATCTCTTTTTAGCTTACCAACTGCACAGGTTTCTGAGGGTTTGGAGGAGGTCTTTCTAAATTCAGAAAATATAGCTGTCTTTCACTTAGCATAAGCACAGGAGGTGGTGTTTTTAGTGCCAGAGGATTAAAGGGAGATGACTGTATACGGTGATGATTTGTTGGTCTTGACTGGAATGTCTTCCTGCCTCAGCAATTCTCTCTAGAACCTGCATGATCACAGCAGCATTTGAAACTCCTTGGAATCCTTGTTCTAGATCAGCACTTGGTGGGGCTCACTTTCATTTTTCCGGGACCTTCCCTCATCGACCAACACCTTCACTAATTTCCGCCATCTCCGCAGCGGGAGAAGGGCAAACTGCCCCACTCACTGAGTGTGCATCAACCACAGCCTGCATTTTGGCATTATCTGCTCCTGTGCTACATATTAAATCCTTTAATGTGCTTCAATATGCATGTGCTGGACTTCGAGCCACTTTCATCCCCCTGGGCCCTCTGGAGGGTCCCCGGCAAGGGCCACAGCCCTCTGGCTCCCTCGGCACTCCTGGCTGCTAGCTTTCAAAGAGAATTTGCTAATTTCTAAATATTTAACCATTTTTTAAAACATTTATACTGCTTGCTTAGAATTGTTTTGAATTGTGATCAAATCATGTGTCCTATTATATCTATTTATTCACCTTGTATGGGCTTTTTAAAAAAATTGAAGTATAGTTGATTTACAATGTGCCAATCTCTGCTTTATAGCAAAGTGACTCAATTACACACACATATATATATATATTTTTACATTCCATTATGGTTTAACACAGGACATTGAATATGGCTCCGTGGGCTATCTAGAAGGACCTTGTGCTTATCCATCCTATATATAATAGTTTATATCTACTAATTGTATTGGGCTTTTTTGTGGCCCAGTACATGATTGCTTTTGCATTCCACGCATTTAGAGGCAAAGTTCTCTCTACACATAGCAATTAAATTAAGCTTGATTTCTTCATTCACGCACTTGTTCTTTGTCTGCAGACTTATTTCCGGGATGGGAGGACTGAAGCCTGGGGAAGGGTTGTGGACCGAGCTCTGGTCCCTGGCCCAGCCTGCAGGACGCCTGCCGCTGCCATGGACTCCAGGGAGGAGAGGCTGGGGGCGGGGCCAGGTGGGGCGGTCAGTCCGGTTGCCAGGAGGCGCGACCCGGACACAATGGGGTCTGGGAGTTGCGCCCTGCAGCGGTGGGGATCCAGACACCCCACCTTGCCTTCCCAGCCAGGAGGGACAGGTCAGTGCATCCACTTTTGGGCCCCCCTCGGGTAGCAGGTCCCCCACCCTCCCTCCCCCTCGCCTCATTATCCTCCCCTAATGTTCCTAAAATATCTCAGTTCTCCGGAACCCCTGGGAATTCCACTCCCTCAGTGCTGCGTCCAAAGTTGGTGCGCACACATACACCCCTGCTAAACTCATTTTGGGGCTGAGGGGTGGAAGATGGCCTCGAAGCTGTCCTTGCCCCGCGCCACTCTGGAGTCAGGAAAGCTGCCGTTTGTTTCTCCGCACCTGGGGGATAAGCGCTCCCCTGTCCCGGAGTCGGGCCCATCTGGAGGGAACCGCGAGTGCGTCCCCGGAGCCTGGGCGGAGGGGCCGGGGCCGCCACCTTTTGCCCGCAGGTGCTGACGGCCGCAAGCGCTCCCACCGCGCCATGGGCTCGGACGCCTGGGTCGGCCCGTGGCGGCCGCACCGGCCCCGCGGCCCCATCGGAGCCCTCTTCAGCGGCCCGGGACCCAAGTACAAGCTACCACCCAGCACCGGTACCAGCGGCGCGCCGGGGGCGGGGGACCGGCGGGGGCTGCCCGGCAGGGGAGCGGCCGGCCCCTGGTGATGCTGGGGCGCCCGGCAGGCTACATCCTGCACGACCCTTCGCGGCCCCGCGCCCCGGCCTTCACCTTCGGCGCGCGCCTCCCGACACAGCAGACTTCGTGCGGCCCCGGGCCAGGCCACCTGGTGCCCGCTCGCATGACCGTGCGCGGTCTCGACAGCGCCCCCGCGTACTCCATCTTCGGCCGCCCGCGGCACGCAGCACCCTTCCTCACTCCCGGACCCGGTCAGGAACCTGGGGCCCTGGCCTCCCGAATGCCTAGCTGCTTCCCTCGGGAACCGCCCGCCCCCCCGCCACCCCCACCTAACCGAGTCCCCCTTGGGCACACTAACATTCCAAATTCAGCCCCCACCCCTCGCCCCAGACCTCAAAACAGCTCCAAGCCTCACCGGGCTTTCACAAATCGTGGCTCGGATTCCCCCTAATCCCTGGACTCCGGCGCGGGTCCCGGCTAGGTCCCCAACCCAGTTCTGGCCCACGCCCCGGTCCTCCCCGCAGGCAGGTACTTCCCGGAGCGAGCCGGGAATGCAGCGTACCCCAGCGCTCCTCGGCACACCATCGCTCCCCGAAACTGGGGCCTCCGCCTGGAGTCGCAAACCCCAGGTGAGCCCAAGAAGGCCCACCCTGCACGGGCAGCGGGGAGGACAACGGCTAGTCCGCAAAGACCCACCCTCGCTGGCCCCCGCAGGCCCCGGGACCTACACTATGCCCTCGCTCCTGGGCCCGCGCGTAGTCGGCAAAGCGTCGGCGCCGACTTACTCCATCTACGGCCGCAGCGCGGTGGGCAGCTTCTGCGAGGACCTCAGCAAGGTGGGGGGCGATGCCCGCACGGCGCGGCGAGGGGTCGGCGGTCGGCGGGCCTGGAAGCTGGACACAGCGCCTCTCCTGCCCCCACCCCACGCAGACCCCGGGGCCCTGCGCCTACCACGTGGTGAACCCTGGGGTCTACAAGCCCCGGGCCCCCCAGTTCTCGATGCTGGCGCGGACTTCGCTCTCCCAAGGCAACACCCAGAATCCCGGCCCTGCAGCCTACAACGTGGACCAGGTGGTCTGCAGTTCAGGGTCAAGGGTCGGAGGCGGGGTAAAGGGGCCCGGGTGGGGATAGAGAGTCGGAGTGGCGAGCTTGGGGGCCGGGAGCCCAAGGCCTGCAGACAGCACTAGGCCAGAGACGTCTCCTGGGTCCGCAGCACCGGAAGCCTCGCGGCTGGACTTTTGGGATCCGGCACTCGGACTACCTGGCCCCGATGATGACCAACGCGGACGATGACCCGCTGGGCGGGCGCTGCCCCGCAGATGTTTCTTAAAGCCTCTGGAACCAGCAGCGTGTCGGCCTCTCTGCGCTCGCGGCGGCTGGCGGGCGGGCGGGCGGAGTCCAGGCTCCCGCAGGCCCTCGCGATTGGCCAGGACAGAAGTGCGCCAGTCCTCCCGCCCCGCCGAGGCGGCGATTGGCCCAGAGCCCCGCACGTCGGGGGCCCCGCCCCTCCGCGGCTCAGGCGCAGTGAGCAGCCCCAAGGCTCTTACCCGCTGCAAGACCAGGCAGAACAGACTGGGCTCTGAAAAGAACGGGCGAGGGCCATGGAACAGGACAGGTTCTCCCCAGGGTCAGGTAGTGAGGCCGAGGCCAGGGGTTCAGCTGAAAAGGGAACGGAAAATAAACTGTCCCGGTTCCTACTGCTGGGGTCCCAAGCCTGGGAGATGGAGGGAGAGGCGTACCCAACTCGGACATGGGACACGGGACTGAGGCAGACACAGGAGAGAAAGAGGACCGGGGTCGGGACACGTGCACTTGGCGTCAGCGACACGGACGCAGGGCGGCGACAGGTACCAGGTATGTGTCACAGCCCAGAGCAGTAGCAGCCCCAGTGACCCCAGGCCCCCTGGCCCCATCTGCCCCTCCCGCACCTGCTGACCAGTCCCGAGGAGGGAGCCAGAGTCCAAGCAGCTGCCGGGGCTGATCCACCTGAAGCAAGGAGACATAAAGGGCTTCTCATGTGCCGTCCTGGACTGGGCACGCAGGGCGCACAAATCCGTGTGTGGGGAGGGGTGGCCACCCCTTGACACAGAGTTCACGCCCAGAAATTTCCTGCCCCCAGGGACGCTGCAGCGCCCCACCACTGTCACTGACACCGAGGATAACCCATTGCTGTCAGAACACCCCTCTGTGCTGCTTATGCCACCTTACTACCCATGCCTAGGGGCCATGCTCTTGGCCATCTGGTAGAGATTGTGGTGCTGACCCCGGCTCTGGCCCAGTCTGGGCAGCAGCTGGCACAACCAGAAAGAAGCCTGGTGCCAATAGCCTAGGGACAAATGCCCCGAGGCAGAGTCTTGACACTTGCCCTGGCTGGCTGGGGCTGCAAGGTGGAAAGAAACTTCCTCTCCAGGCCAGAACCTCTGACCTCAAAGAGGCGAACAACCACCAGCAGGTCCTGACCTAAGCCTGGCCCAGAAAGAGCCCTCAAAGGCAGGACCCAGGCTTCTCACTCCCCAGGACAGAACCTGAATCTCCATTCACATCAGCCCCCAATAACAGGACCAAGTTATTCGGCTTCTTCTTCAGTTCCCCAGACAGGACTCCCAAGAGAAGAGGTGGGTACTCCTCTCCCTCCACCCACCAGACTTGTGACCCTAGCAATGGGCACCAGGACAGTTTATTTTCCGTCCCCTCTCCAGCTGGACACCCACTACACTGCTCAGTTCAGCTTCAGTTCAGTCACTCAGTCGTGTCCAACTCTGTAACCCCATGGACTGCAGCATGACAGGCTTCCCTGTCCATCACCAAATCCCGAAGCCTACTCAAACTCATGTCTATCGAGCTGGTGATGCCATCCAACCATCTCATCCTCTGTTGTCTCCTTCTCCTCTCACCTTCAATCTTTCCCAGCATCAGGGTCTTTTCCAATGAGTCAGTTCTTCGCATCAGGTGGCCAAAGTATTGGAGCTTCAGCTTCATCAGTCCTTCCAATGAATATTCAGGACTGATTTCCTTTAGGATTGACTGCTCTGATCCCCTAGCTGTCTAAGGGACTCTCAAGAGTCGTCTCCAACACCACAGCTCAAAAGCATCAATTTTTCAGTGCTCAGCTTTCTTTATAGTCTAACTCTCACATCCATACACAATTACTGGAAAAAGCAGTAAATGCTTAACTCCAGCTGAGGCCTAACCAGGGATGGTGAGGAGAAATATGGGGGTGGGGAGATGACTTTGCTGGTGTACTCAGCATCCTTGCCCAGCCTGTATAAGTTAGCAACAGATGTGATAATGGGGGTACATGGGGGTACCTTGGATAAACTGGAGTCTATTCATGAATTCATTGTTACCCAGAAACCAGAGCAGGTACAGGCAGGATACTAATTGGTCATCGATCTCAGTTATTGATGGAAAACACAGGCGAGACTCTCTGAAGGATCACTAGGGAAGATACTGATCAGTTATTCATGGGTCATTGGACTTTGGTCAAGACCATCGATGGAAATGTGATAGAAGTCACTAATAGGGACTTGGTCTAAATAACCGATGGGCCTCTGATCAATCATTAATGGGCCATAGAATGTTGATCCATATATTTGATGGGCCACTAGTGAGAACTTATCACAATCAGTCCTGTCATTGGTCATGATTTTGGACATCAAGGTTGCTGATGAGTCCTTGGTCAGGGTCAGTGATGGGGTCACTGATCAGAGGCAACTGAGAGTAACCGGGAGTCCTATTGCAGGGGAGGCTGGCCAGATACAAGGGTTGCAGGAGTGAGTGGGCTGCTGGTGCTGTACTGTGGGTCAGGAAGCTGGTTCCTGCAGATGGATTCCTGGAGGAAGCAAGAGATGTAACAGCCACCATCAACAGCCTGCCATTCATCATTGATGACCTGACCAGGATTTGCCTCATGCGTGTTAAAGACTCCTGAGCTAGGAACACACAACCACATGTGATCTGACCCAAAGCCAGCATCAGTGTCCCACATCACAGGATGCCTGACCACCCACTCAAGAGGGTGACTTGACTGATGCACCTGTCATCCCATCACATAGGGCACTTGACCTTCCATGTTCAGAGTCCCTGATCCCTCATGACTGATCCGAGTGTCAGCCTCCCCCACATCTCCCAGGAAGCTCCAAGATCTCCATCACCTGCAGACCCCTTAGCCGCCCACACATAGCCCCCATCCTCAGTAAGAAGGCAGTGGACAGCCCGTCTGCAAAGATGGCAGGCAGGAAGTACAGAGAGGCCGCAGTCCCTAGCCAGGCATAGGCCCTGGAGCCTATGTAGCCTCTCCATAGAGGTCCCCGTGTGGCTGTGGCCTCTCTGTTGGCACAGATCTATTTATGTAGCCCCAACCCTCTGCTCTAACTCGGTAGCCTGACCCTCAGTATCTCAGCAGCCCAGTCTTACCCTGCCGCGGCCAAGATCCAGCCTCCCCGCTCCATTCCCACCCGGTAACCTTTATCCGAGCAAGACCGACCTGTTCCCGGGTCTGGGGAAACTCTCAGGGCCCTCCCGCCGAACGAGCTCTTCCTGACCCCCACCGCTGAGGTCAGTCACGGCCGCTCCAGGTGTCTCCCGCTCCCTCCCAAGCCTTCTGTAACTCCCTCTCCAGGGGAACCGGCAACCGAGGGTACATCAGGGGCTGCAATTTGAAGACACGCGAGACGCGGGGCGGGTCCACGCCGAACCGAGTCTCGGCAGGTTGGCGCGGGGCCGCCGCTCTGACCACTACGGACAGCCCGCCGTAGGCAGCAGCCTGGAGTGAGGAAACGGGGCTGCTCCTGGACGGCCTGGGGGTCACCGCGCTCCGGGACGGGAAGAAGAGAGGTGCCCCCGTCCCGGCTCAGCCCTACACCCGGAGACCCCAGCCCTCCCGGGCCCAGCTGCTCACGGCCCGCTGCTCCCGCGCCCGCTGGACGCAGCAACGAAGCCCGAAAGGCTTGCAACCGTGCGCGCGTAGGCATGCCAGCCTAGGGAGCGGGGCGGAGACCACACCCGGCGACTGGGAACCACATCCGGCGACTGGGGCGTCGCCGAGCAAACGCGGCGGCGTCGGAAGGGCAGGACCGCGGAGGAAGCCCCGCCTCCTACACGTAACTTCCGGCGGACCTCCGCCTTTGGCGCACCCGGCCGTCTGCGCGAGAGCGGCGTCGTTGACGCATGCGCGCTGACCTGGAGCTGGGCGGGTGGTCCGCGGTTCCGCCCAGGTAGCATCTCGATTTGCCGCCCCGACCCTGGGGCGCTGGGGGAGCACCTGCGAGGCGCATTCCGGGAGGCTCCTGTGAAAGGGGCTTCCGGAGGAGAGGGGCTGGAAACGTCTGGGTTTGCAGGCTCACCTTGTGCACAACTTGGAGCACGTTTTGTGAGGGAGGAAGTTGGTGTGAACAGGCTAAGGGACATGTCCAAGGTCGTGCAGCCGAGGAACCCGTCGGACTGGCAGAGGCCGGACGTTTAGGAGTCTTCGAGAGGGTCCTCCCAGGAGCGCCTGAACAGGTGAGGGGCGGGGGGGGGCGGTTCTAATACCTCCACTTGGCAAACCTCCAGAGGCCCCTGAGAAAGGCACGGAGGTCACCGAAGCCGGGGCAGGACGTGAGTCCAGAGCTGCCGTCGGGTACCTGGCTGTGAAGAGTGGGCTCAAAGCAAGTAGAAACCTTTTTTTCCGGGCCGACTGCCGGCTGGAAGTGTACGTGCGAGAGGCTGGCGGGGGCTGGGGGCCAGGCGGAGCGCTGCAGGCTGCGGCGCGCGTGGCGCAAGGTTTCCGCGGGGCCAGGGGCTAGAGCACTGTGGCGGGAGTGGCCTCAGGAGAAAGCCTGCAGAAGGGCCAGAGGAGGCGGTCTTGGGAGGGTGAAGCCAGAAATTCACCCACCTCCTCTTAAGAAATGGATGTTTATTGCAAACAGATAAATATGCCCAGGAATTCGGCTGAGGCACGTGCTTGGAATGCTTTCAGATGCAGGCGACGACGACTGAGCTGTTGAGAGCTGCTAGGGCCGGGGGGATGGGATAGACTGAGGCTCTCAGGCTAAAGAACAAGAGGAATAAGCAGTGAACACTTGACGATGCCTAAACTGGAGTTTGAGGTTTCAGAGGTGAGGCAGTTGAGCCCAGGTGAGTGGTAGGTGAGCAGCTGCTGAGAGCAGAGCATGTGTAGGGCTGGTCCTTCAGGTGGAGTCAGGGATCTCTTGAATGATGGGGGCACTTCTGGCTCCTGACACTCTTGCTTCTTCCCAGAAGCATCAGGTCCATGCTGCTGCTGGCTCGGGCACCCAAAGCTTGGCACAGGCTCTTTCAGCTCAAGCCTCTGGCCCTCCCTGGGACCCCAGGAGGCAAGGCCCAGCATGTGAGATACCAGCTCTTCTCAACGCCAAGCCCTGCAGAGACCGGCAGGCAGGGCCAGCCCCAGGGTCCTGGCCTGCGAACCAGGTTGCTCGTTACAGCCTTGATTGGGGCTGGACTGGGTGGGGCCTGGCTGGCCGTGAGGGCCGAGAAGGAGCGGTGGCAGCAGCAACAGCGGACAGAGGCCCTGCGGCAGGCTGCTGTGGGCCAGGGCGACTTCAGCCTACTGGACCACCGGGGCCAAGTGCGCTGCAAAGCTGACTTCCGGGGCCAGTGGGTGCTGCTGTACTTCGGCTTCACTCACTGCCCTGACATCTGCCCCGACGAGCTGGAGAAGCTGGTGCAGGTGGTGCGGCAGCTGGAGGCGGAGCCCGGCCTGCCCCCCGTGCAGCCCCTCTTCATCACCGTGGACCCCGAGCGGGACACTGTGGCTGCCATGGCCCGCTACGTGCAGGACTTCCACCCAAGGCTGCTGGGCCTGACTGGCTCTGCCGAGCAGATCGCCCAGGTGAGCCGTAGCTACCGCGTGTACTACAGTGCCGGCCCCAAGGATGAAGACCAGGACTACATCGTGGACCACTCCATCGCCATCTACCTGCTCAGCCCTGACGGCCTCTTCACGGACTACTACAGCAGGGCCAGGTCGGCCGAGCAGATCTCAGACAGCGTGCGGCGCCACATGGCTGCCTTCCGCAGCGTCCTGTGCTAAGCCGGGTCATTAAAAGGCTGTGATGGAGCCGTGTGCGCGAGAGATCTGTACCAGCAGCCCCCTGAGGCCATGGTGGGAAGGGGGCTGGGGGCCTGGTTGCTTCCTGGGGTGCAGGGGACAGACAGCCCTCTCCCCTACACACAACGGTTCTGTAAAGGTTTTTGTTTTTTAAGGGACTGGTGGGATGGCAACACTTTATTAGGCTGGGCCAGCCAGGAAAGAAAGCAAACTGAGCGGACGCACACCCGGTATCCGTGGGGGACGGGCTCCAGGGCCCAACCCTGGCCGCAGTGCTCCCCACTCAGGGCTGCACTGTGGAGGGGGCAGCATAGGTCTGGAAGCGCTTGTGGGCCCTCTGGTGTGTGAGCAGCCTCAGGGACATGGTGTCCACAGCCGCCTCCAGCCCCGGCTGCTGGGTGATCTCCACTGTGTAGTCGTTGGCCTGCAGGGCACAAAGCGTCAGCGGAGGCCCGGGACCACTTCCCTCCCAGGCCCCAAGGCCACTCACCAGCTGCAGGGAGGCCAGCATGGAGCGACACACTTCGAAGGCAGGCTGGCCTGCCACCAGCTTTGCGAAGGGGCACCACTGGTTGAGCTGGCTGAACCGGGAGACCACCTGGTCCCCGTAGGTGTGGATGTCAAAGGGCACATGCTCCTCCTGCAGGGGGAGGGGCCGGTCCCGGGCTGGTCCAAGGCAGGCCACAGGGGACGCCATCCTCCGCCAGGGGCCCCACCCGGCCCACCTCACCTGCTCCTGGAGCAGGGTCTGGATGGCGTCCTCCCAGCCCCTGATGTGCTGCTTCAGCTCTGTCTCCTGGACAAGCTCCTGCCTCGAGGTGGTGATGAAGACGTCCTGCTTCGAGGTGGTGACAAAGAGCTCCTGGGGGTGGACCAGGGGCCACCAGCTGGGTGCAGAGCCTGCCCCCACCCTGCCCAGCTCCCCCCACTCTGACCTGGGCCTACCACATTCTTTTGGACCAGCTCCTCATAGCGCAGAGATGCTGGCATGGCTTCCGCTTCTGCAAAAGTGCGGCCGTTAACCTCACTCTCTCCTTCCTCCCGTCTTCGGGGGCCCCTCGGGCCTGCAGCCCACTCCCAGACCTACCCATGTCTGCATCTTCTCCGGGCTCTGCCCCCTCAGGTTCTGCGTACTCCTCGGGCTCTAGGAAGTCATCTGCTGAGGAGGGAGCACCCAGGCAAAAGGCTGGTTAGGCTGTTAGGCTGCGGCAGGCACCGAACCCTACCCCGGCCTGCTCCCGGAGGCCCCCACCTGCGGCTCCCAGGTCTTCCCCCGAGTCCTCCAGGCGGTCCTCCTCCACGGGCCACGGCCCCTGCTCGGCCCCTGGCAGCCATCGCTCAGCCGCCTGTGCAGAGAGAGCCCCTCAGAGGCGCTGCTGCCTCCCACCAGGCGCCGCGGGGTCCCCAGAGTGGCCGGTACTTGCCTCCCTCCTCTGCATCTTCCGGAGCGTCTCCAGCTGCTCCTTCACATGCTTCCAGTACAGAACCTCCATGTCTGTGCACACAAGCCTCTCTTGAGGGGGCTCCCTCATCCTGCCCAGGCCCACCCGAGTCCACTCGGCCTCCGGCCTCCCCAGGCTGAGGAGGGCGGTGCAGTGTGGGGTCAGCCTCCTTCAAAGAGCCCCAGGCCCCAGGCTCACCTGCAAAGGAAGGGCCCTTTCGCCGGGACCTCCTGCTGTCAGCATGGTCGGCATCTGCAAGAAGACAGGGTCAGCAGGAGCCAAGCCGAGGCCCACAGCCACACCCAGCCCCGGGCCCCACGCACAGGCAGCCAGGTACCACTGGTGGAAGTCCTGCAGCTTGACAGCACCCTTCCTCTTACGCTTCTGTCCTGGCGCCTCCTCCACGCGGGGGGGCACAGAGTAGGGCCTACCTGGGGGCAGACAGGCCATCCCGGAGCACAACCACAGCCCAGGGCCGTCTCCGTGCCCACAGGCCCTGGACCCCAACCTCCACTCAAGCCAGGTGAGCCCAGCCCCCACCCCCAGTGCCCAGGGGCCATACTCTGCGTTACCTTTCCTGAAGGGCTTAGAATCCGGGGAGTCAAAGGGGTCCAGGCCCTGCCAGGGGTCTGGGGTGTCCTGAGCACAGAGCACAAGCAGACACAGGAGAGTGGAGGACGCGCACCCTCCCCCAGTCGAGACACACGGGGAGGGGGGTGCCCTGGAGCTGCAGCAGGGAGGCCCAGCGCTGGGGGAAGGAAGAGTGCTCAAGAGACACACTGCCGAGGGCGCGACCCCCCGCCCCGTGCCGGGCTCCGGGCCTGCCCACCCCTCACCTTCAGCCGGTATGCGGGCTCCGGGGCCTCCTTCCGCTCCCGGAGTGTACACCTCCTGGGCTGGGCAGCACTCTGCAAAGGAACACCAGGCATTTCCCTCTCCTCCTCCACCCAGGATTCCAGGACCCCGAGCAGCTCTGCTCTGGGGCCAGACACGGGGAACCCTGCGGAAACCCCCTGGGGGCAGAAAGTTAAACGACCAAAAAGTGAAAAGCTAGTAAAAACTTTAGGAGAAGATAGAGACTAGTGGCCACGAGATACTTCTTCAAAGAAAAAAACAGACGGTGAAGAATCTGCCTGCAATGCGGGAGACCTGAGTTCCATCCCTAGGTTGGGAAGATCCCCTGGAGAAGGGCATGGCAACCCACTCCAGTATCCTTGCCTGGAGAATCCCATGGATGGAGGAGCCTGGTGGGCCACAGTCCACGGGGTCACAGAGAGTCAGACATGACTGAGCAATTAAGCACAGCAAAAACAGCCGACCAAACCTGACAGACATTAATATTTTTTCCTGTATGTCAAGGCTTTCCCTTACAAATAAAAGGATTTCTTAGCTCTGCGCCGGAGTACAGAGCTGGACCTTAGGGGTGAGGGAGGCAGGCCTGTCCACTCTTGCCAGCCTGGCCTCGAGTCGGCTCCGGAGACCACTCTGGGTGGAACCCTGAGCAGCACAGCCCCTGACCCCGGACACCAGTCCTCCCCGAGAAGCAGCGGCTGCTCTGCCCAGACAGGGAGCCGTGAAAGCTGCTGCCAGAAAGGGCGGCGTGTGGGGCCGGGGCCGGCTGGGGGACACACCCGCCGCCCTGGCGCACAAGGACCAGGGAGCAGGCAGCCCGGGGGTGGCCTGCCCCACACGAGCGCGCCGTCCCCGCCGGGGCTTGCCTGGCCGAGGGCAGGGGCTCGGCAGGCCTCCCTGGGGGTCCCACCTGCTCGGGGCTCCTGGGCTCCGGGGGCTCCAGCGGGACCTCAGGTGCAGAGGCCTCAGGGGGCTCCGCCACCCCTTCTGCGTCCTCTTCGTCTTCTCCCATGCCCCCACCTCTGGGCGCCAGGCCTTCTGGAGAGGAGCCTGGCAGGGACACGAGACCAGTCAGCCCCGGGAGCCTGAAGGCCTCGGGATGAGGGGCCGTTCCTGACTCAGCTTCCCTTGTGGGAAGCAGAGAGGGCACAATACACGCACGTTATACTGCTGTTTTGTTTGGTTCATCTTATTTTTTAGTAATTTTTCTCTTTAAATGCTGCCACCTCTGTCTGCTCAGAGAGCAGGTGGCCCAGGGGCAGCCACTAAACCGAGAGAGCACAGCTGGCCAAGGTGGGCCCTGGGCTCGAGGCCTACCCGAGCCTCAGGCGGGGGCGGCGGGCAGGCGGGGGTGCTGAGCGCAGCGCCCCCTCCCCAGCCCCCACTGCAGGCCCGCCTGGGCGCTCGCTTCTCACCTGGCTCCCGGGAGATGCTGAGCGCCGGGCCAGGACTCCCGCACACAGAGACTTCCATTGGCTGCTCCTCAGCCCTTCCAGGCTCTGGGAGAGACCGGGGATCAAACGCGGTCAGCCCTGTTCCCCCTACAAGGTCCCTCCCAGGTCCCACATGGCCAGAACCAGGCAGGGAGAACACAGCCCAGGCACAGGACTCGGGCCTTCTGTGGCTGAACCAGCTGCAGGCAGAGGCCCCGTCCTACAAGCAGGTCCAGACGGTGGGCGCAGGTGCCCGAGCGGAGTCCGCCTCGCCCCCGACCGAGTTCTCACCCTTCGGGTTCCGCGGTTGCAGGGCCTCCATGAGGGACACACCCACTGGCTCCAACAGGAACGTGCCTCTGGGGTGCGGCGTGCACGTGTTCACCCTGAAATCCTTCCGGCTGGCCAGGACCTCCCCCTGACAGCTGGCAAAACACGGGTGCTGCAGAGACCCTTCCCCAGCACACCCCCCTCCACCCAGCAGGCGCAGGCCCGCACCTGTACAGGGGGTTACTGTTCTTCTCCATCTCATCCGGGGCGACCAGGGCATTGGGCAGGAGAGGGATGAGGGTCCCCTGCACAGAGTCCAAGAACGGGTGAACCGTGGGAACCCACGGGCCACGACATCACCCTCCACACCCCCATCAGCTAAACGCAGGAGGGGGCACTCACACTGAGGACCTGGTCACCCCTGAGATCCACATTGGCACAGGAGTCAGAGAGGTCATCCAACGCCAGGAACTGTGGGGAGACAGAGGGCTCAGGGGCGGCCTGGCTAGCACAGTGGGCACCGCCAGGCACCCAGGAAGCCTCACCTTCTGCTCTGCCTCCTGGGGGGCCCTGGAGCTGGCATCCCCAGTGGTCCCGTCTTCCGGCTTGGAGGACAACTGCTTGGCCTGCCTGAGAGAACCAGCGCACGGGCACCGCAGGTGAGGGGCTGCCCAGGCCGCACATACAGCGGACACACGGGCACCCCTTGCGTACTCACTTCTTGCCAGAGATGAAGTCGAGAGCCTGGTAGACCAGGGAGTACAGGTATTCCACCTGGCAACCAGAGCCGGCAGTGAGGAAGAGAAAGGAGGGGCTCCCAGAACCTTCTGCACTATTCATCCAAGTACCAAGATGCCAGGGCATTCTCTCCAAATTCCTGCCCATTTGGCTGCCAAAATCACAGCTGCAATCCAACCGCCAAGCCTCCCCAGCGTTACGAACAGCCGGAGCCCCTCCTGCGCCCTCACTCCACACCGCCGCAGCTGTGGCCACCTCAACCCTGCAGCCCGGACCCTCAGTCGCGTCTGACTTCACGGGGCTCACCAACCAGCCCCCACCTGCGGGAGCGCCGCGGGTCTCTGCCAGCCCGTTGACAGTCCAGCCATAGCCTGTGGGGCCCCACTGCTGGGGGTGAGCGTTGGGATTTTCCAGATTCTGACCACAAAGCAGCCATCAGTAGGCTGCTTACACGCACCGCCTAGGCCACTCCCTCTGGGTGACAGCACCCAGAGGACAGTGTGCCGGAGGGCACGGATCCCACTCACCAGAAACAGACCACAGGAGCTCTCCTAAGTGTCTGTCACACAGGACTGTGCTTCATGCTCTGTCTCTGTCCTACTTAGGATCAATGCCGGTGCTATTCTCATAGTAAACAAGATACACTGAGATTCAGAGAATCAGAGTAATAACCCCACCAGCGATGGGTCAAGGACCTGCACCAGGGATGCAGAAATCCAGAAGCCATGAGCCACATGTGACGCTATCAGTTTAAATCTAATTAAAAGTTAACAAAACGCCAGACTCCTCAGTCACGCATGCCACATTTCAAGGGCCCAGGAGTTGCACATATTAGATCATAGAACACTTCCATCAGCTCAGAAAGACTGGTGAGACAGTGCTGACTACAGCCTATGCTCCCCTCACACCTTCTAGACTTCAGGTTAACATTTTACTACACCTGCTAGAAGCACACGTCTGCCCATCTATGTATGTGACCATAGGTGCACCTTATGTTTGTGCTTCCAAAGTTAATTGCTGATATTCCTTCTGAGGACAAATACAGGACAAAGAATCTGATTTCATGGGATCATCTAAGACAAAAATCATGAATTCTCAAACCGTCTTCATAACTCACAGAGCCTGAGGTGGGGCCTTGTGTCAGTTAACCTGCAAGTTGGTGGCCCCCTCCTCTGTCCAGAGGGGTTCCCGGTACGGAGCATTCCTGAACTCTTCCTTCTGTGCACTTTTTGTTCCCCGCCCCCCCCCCAAACCGCCAATTGAGTGGATCAGTGCTGTGGTCACCTTTTCCCTGCTCCTCCACTAGAGGATGGACGGGGTAGCACTGCTGGAGGAAAATCTCCAACATGCGCATGGATGCCCTGGCAAATAGCGGGGTGCGTTTAACCTCCACTGGACTACCAGTGCTTTCAACTGGTCTTTACTTTGCATTTCCCTCAGCAGCGCTGATCTTTAGGCACACCTCACTCTCCGAGTTTCTTATACAGTAGCTGGTTCTCAGTAGCTGACTTACATGCTCCATGTGAAAGGTGGGGCCTTAGGCGTGGACGCTGCAAACCCCTGGGCCCCCCTTCTCCTCAGTGTCCTGAGAGTTGTCTTTTCTCTGCTTCACGGCAAGCCCGTCAGCCATGCTCCCGACCGCTCCTGACCTACTTCTCCTGCTGCTGTTTCATCCATATTCCTCTCCCAGCTCCCCTTTCCCCGCCCCCACCCATGGTTTTCAATACCGTCTGTCACTGAGGATAGTTAAAAAAAATCCAGATATCTACCTCCCTCCCCCAACCCACCACCACCCGGAGATGCTGATTTAGTCAGTTTGGGTGAGGCCCAGGCACTGGTAATTGTTTGGACTGTAGCGTGGGTTGAAAGTCACTGATTTAGTTACTGACAATCTCTCTCTTTTTTTGGGGGGGGGGTGGGGGCATGTGGCATGGCATGCAGGATCTTAGTTCCCCACTCGGAGCAAACCCATGCCCCTGGAGGCATGGGGTCCTAACCGCTGGACCACCAGGGAATTCCCAACCCTACAATTTAAAACCCATTCTGTTCTTCCATGTTAAAAGGGGCAAGGAAAAAATAATACTAATAAAAAATAATAAAAATAAAAGGGGCAAGAACTTGGAGGAGGTGGTAGGTGCTGCTGAGGCAACTCTGAGACAGGGCTGAGCCTGCCACCTGCCCCAGCGAGACAGCAGACCTTGGTCCCACAAGACACTGCAGTACAAGACCACGGTCAGGCGGGCCCACCTTCTTACTGTAGACACAAGCGGAGCCCTGGATCAACAGCGCTGCCTCAATGAAGTTCATTGTGGTTTTGCCTTTGTCAAAAGAAATGCAGATCTGGTCCAGCTGAAAGACACAATGAGGGACAGTGGGAAGTCTACACACTCTCCTCACCCTCCTCCTGGCAGCCCACCCAACCCACCCCACCCCCCACCCAGGGCCAGTGGCCCAAGGTGCCTGTTACCACAAGCAGCCCGTCTGAACAGCTCTGGCTCTGCCTGGGGCTTGCCAGCTATTCATTTTTTTGGAGGGGAAAGACAGGTGTTTGTGATTTCCCCTACTTCCTGTAACCTCTAAGACCCTGTGTTTTGGAAGACACAGGCCCCTAGGGTGCATCACCCACAGACGGCCAGAGCCACACACCAGCCCCTCTACGGAGGAGCTTGCACTGGGCCGCTCAGCCGGACTCCAGCAGGAAGACCCCACTCCAGGAGAAGGACGGGGGACCCTCAAGGGTGGGGAAGAGAGAGGCAAAACGCTGGGGTCTCAATCCTTCGAGCAGAAAACTCAGGAAATGCTTCCAAGTACATCATCCTCTTTCCTCTTCAACTCCTGACCCCCAGCCTCTCCTAAGCCCCAGTTCCCACCACCCCTTAAATCTGTGTCCACCAACTACATGCCAACAATCCCCAAACCCATCTAAAACAGCTCTCTCTAAGGTAAGAATGTTCTGGCAGCTGTGTGGAAAATGAAAGGAGAAAGGCAAAACTAGAGGCAGAGAAATGAGGACGTCAGGGGACAGAAAAGGTTTGGAGGAGCAGACATACGAAGCAGGAGAAGAGCAGACCAAACAAGGAGGTTCACCAGGCACCCCCCCCCAAGCACCCCACTCAACACAGCTCCGGCTAGCACAGCTCTCTGCGTTTTCTCAGGAGACTGCGTGTTCAAGCAGAGGTCAGTTGTCAGATCAATTGTCCATTTAACATTTATTCTGCACCAACTGTGTGCCAGGCATTCTATTAAGCAAAAGGGAGAGAGAATGAAGATAGTCCCTGCCCATGCAGGATTTACATTCTAGTGTGGAAAGACATAAACAAGTTAGAGACCAGCTGAAGATGAACATTCTAAAATACAGAAGGTACTATAAGAGAGAGAACTATTTTAGACATGGCAGTCAGCTGATATTTAAACTGAAGGGTACAGGACGAGAAAGAATCAGTCATAAAAAGAACTGGGCAAAAAAACCTGGCTATTGAGTACAGAAAACATAAGTGTGTGTGTGTGTGTGTGTGTGTGTGTGTGAGAAGTGCAGCCAGGAATGAGCTTGGGTGTTGCAGACTGACTGGTTCAAAGAACAGGTGGAAAAGAGCCTAAGACAAGGCTAAAACAGCGAGCAGAGCAGAGCCAGATTTAGAGAAGAAAGCGTGGCTTCTGTTCTGGAAGCCAACGGGAAGCCACTGAGGGTTATTAGGCAGGGCAGTGCTGCAGCCTGATATTAATTTTTAAATGTCGCATTTGCTGCTGGGTGGAGCATGAACTGGATGGAGCCAAAAATAAGAGTAGGGAGTCCAAGAATGAAAGCTTTAACATGAATGGGAGCCAGACTGTGGCCTGGATCAGAGAAAATGGAAAATAGATTAACTGAAGTGAAGTTCTGGAGACATAACTGATAGAAACCATGGGCAAACTGGTGTGCAGTGGCAGATTTCCCTAGCTCTGAGGTTTCACTTTGAGAAACATTGGTACCATATACCAAGATCAGAAAGGCTGAGCTTTGAGCAGGAATATAAAGAGCTCTCCTTTAAACTGATGATCAACTCCAAAGAAATGGTGTTTTTAAACTGTGGTGTTGGAGAAGACTCTTGAGAGTCCCTTGGACTGCAAGGAGATCAAACCAGTCAACCCTAAAGACAATCCTCCTGAATACTCATTGGAAGGACTGATGCTGAAGCTGAAGCTCCAATACTTTGGCTATCTGATTCATAAAGCCGAGCCGATTCATTAGAAAAGACCGACCCCTCCCCAGGAGGAGAAGGGGACGACAGAGGATGGTTGGATGGCAGCACCGACTCAATGGACATGAGTTTGAGCAAGCTCCGGGAGATGGTAAAGGACAGGGATGCCTGGCATGCTGCAGTCCATGGAGTCACAAAGAGTCAGAAAAAAATAAGCGACTGAACAACAACAACAACTCCTTTAACTCTATTAAACCTGAGATGCTTGGGTGACATCTATCTAAGTGAGAATTTCAAGATTAAGAAGCTGGATACACAAACCAGACTCAGAGAAAAGGCCTGGAATAGAAATATAAACCGAGAGAGGGGAGAGTAAATAAATAAACCTAGCAACTGTCCTCATACAAGAGGTACTTAAAATCATGGAAATAAATGAAGTGGTTTAGGCGAAATGTGTAAAAAGATGGCTCAGGCCACGCCCTGAGGAGTTCAACACTGAGACCAGACAGGAGACAAAAGCTGTTTCAAAAAAGAGGATGCCGTCAACTCATCAAATGCTGCTGAGTTGAATAAGATGACTCTTCCGGTGACCCTTGGATGTGGTAGGAAGGAAGTCGTTATTGATCAACACAAGAGCAGTCCAAGCGGGCTGAGCAGTGAAAGTGAAGTGCAGAAATGGAGCAGACAGCTCTTTAACGAGGTCTAGACATGCTGTCAGATATGGGGAAGGAGTTAAATGCTGACGGTGGAGCACTGGCTTGAAAGTCTAACATAAGATCTCCCTCCTGCATCGTGACCCAGACCTCTCACACAGCCACACATGCACACAAATTCTATTCTACTCTATTACAGAAAAATGCTGGTCGCTACTCACTAGATCGATTTCAAGGCTCATTAACAGAAAGCGACCTCTAATGACAGCTCCAGGCTAACCAAGTAAGGGATGATTTCGAGGGCCAAGAGACGGAACTGGGGGAAAGGGAACGAGCCTGCGGATGAGTGCAGTCGGAGCGCCAGACGGAGGCGGCACGCGCCCCAGAGGCTGCAGAGCCCCGCAGCCCCCGCCCTGCGCCACTCCCCCGGGCCGCCCTCACCTCCTCAAGATATTCGCCCAGCTGGGCCGCCACGTCCACCTCCCAGTTCCTGGTGAGGTCGCGGATGGGCAGCAGGAGGTGGGCGAAGCGCGCCTCCACGTCCTCCATGTTCGGGAGGAGCCGGATCGGCCCGGGGACCGGAGCGCCGGCTTCCAGAGGGGCCGGTGCACTCAGCCCGCCACTACTTCTGGCGCCATTTTGCTGTTCCCGCCCAGGAAGATACGTAGCGCGCAGCGACGCGCACACAACTTGACGCAGAGCGGCAGCCTCACGCCGGAAAGGACGCAGGACGCGCCGGAGACGGGGCGTGAGCGGGGGCGGGGCCCACGCCTGCGTAGGGCGGGATGGGGCTTGCAGCTGCCGCAGGCTCGGGGGGACGCGAAGGGGCGGGGCCAGGCGGACCCGGGAATCGTGTCCAGCCCGCCGCGTAGCGGACATGGCGGGCTCCCGGCTCCCACGGCAGCTCTTTCTCCAGGGCGTGGCCGCCGTCTTCATGTTCGCCTTCGCGTCCCTTTACACGCAGATCCCGGGTGAGGGCGCCGAGAGCGCGGTGCCACCGGGCGGGACCCCTCCCCGCCAACCCGGGTCCTGTGACCCCCTCATCTCCCCACCCGACACACCGCTGTGTAGGGGCGGTGAGGTCCAGGCCCGGATGCATGGGGTCGGGGGCCGCGGTTTGTGTCCTGCGAGCCGCGGGGGTGTGGGCCGTGGGCGGGCGTGCAGGGGTCATTTTCAGCACGGTTCTGTGTTCTGATCTCGGCGCGAGGGTCTGGAGGGTCTGCAGGCCTTGACCTGTCGGGAGGGAGAATCTGCTGGTCCCGACCTGGGTTAGGGAGGGCAGATCCGCAGGCCCTGGCTGGGGAAGGGGGAGTCTCGTCTCCGCGGGCCGTGTCCAGGGCCTGCCCTGATGTGCCCTCCCACAGGCCTGTACGGCCCCGAAGGCATACTGCCTGCCCGGAGGACACTGCGGCCCCAGGGAAAGGGCCGCTGGCAGCAGCTGTGGGAGACCCCCACGCTGCTGTGGGAGGCGCCACTTCTGGGGCTGGACACTGCCCAGGGCCTGGAGCTACTGAGCCTGCTGGGCACCCTGCTGGCCCTGGGTGCCCTGCTGACGCGCCAGCTGCGCCACCTGCTCGTGTACCTGCTGCTCTGGGCCACCTACCTGTCTGTCTACCAGGCAAGTGGGGGCTGTGCCACTGGGACGCTTGCCTCCAGCTCCCTCCAGGCCCTCCCGCCCTCTCCCCTGCCCGTGCCCCTGCAGACTCACAGCCCGTGCTTCCTGACCACCCTTCTCTCTGCAGGTGGGCCAGGTGTTCCTTTATTTCCAGTGGTGAGTGATTGTTGGGTCTGGGCTACAGAAGGCTGGGTGGGTGAGATGGGGTGGGATGTGTTTGTCCCTCCCAGGAGGACCCCCTTATGGGAGCAGCCTTGACGGGGAGGAGGGCCTCCGCTATTTTTTCTCCCCGTAGGGATTCTCTGCTGCTGGAGACCGGCTTCCTGGCTGTGCTGGTGGCCCCTCTGGGGCTTCCCCCCAACCACAAGCAGGCCCCCCAGGGCAGGCCAGGAGGGGTCTCCCCCCATGAAGCCCTTCCCTTCTGGCTGGTGCGCTGGCTGCTGTTCCGCCTCATGTTTGCCTCGGGTGTGGTCAAGCTGACTAGCCGTTGCCCCGCGTGGTGGGGGCTCACTGGTGAGGGTCCCTGCCTGGACGTGGGGCAGTGCTGGGGGCTCTGCCCATCCCTGACCGCCCGCCTGTCCCCTGCAGCCCTCACCTACCACTACGAGACTCAGTGCCTGCCCACGCCGGCCGCCTGGTTTGCCCACCACCTGCCCGTTTGGCTGCACAAGCTCGCTGTGGTGGCCACCTTCCTCATCGAGATCGCAGTGCCACCTCTGTTCTTCGCTCCTGTCCGCCGCCTGCGGTTGGCTGCATTCTGCTCCCAGGTGGGTGGGGTCCTCAGCCATCAGAAAGACAAGCAGGACGTGGCCTTGCTCTGCACTGCCCAGAGGGCCCCACTGGGGATGGGTGTCTGCTGCTGGGCAGTCAGAAGGGCCTTGTGGGCAGAGGAGCTCGTTAGCCTGGGGTGTGAAGGTGTTGTCTGCGTGGTGGGGCTCCAGCGTCGCTGGAGGACGTCTGTCCTGGGGCAGCACGGGCGACTGAGGAAGGGCTGCGTGAGGCAGGCCGAGCTTGGGTTTTCTCCGGGTGCTGCTCGGAGCCACTGAGGGGTTAAGCCAAGGCAGGGGAAGCTGAGCGGGGAGCAGAGGCCCGGGGACGACTTGGAGGGCGCAGGGGCCTGCAGGAGAGCTCTGTGGGGGAGGCGGAGGGGCCTGGGAGCAGGCTCCAAAGGGCCCGGGAAGGGGCGGCCCCCGTGAGCTGAGTCCAGACCTTCTCCAGGTCTTGCTGCAAGTCCTGATTATCATCACTGGCAACTATAACTTCTTCAACCTGCTCACCCTGGTGCTCACCACTGCCCTCCTGGATGACACACACCTGGCTGCTAAGTCTAGCACCAGCCGCCGCAAGAGGACGCCTAGCTGTGAGTGTCTGCCTGCCCCAGACAGACAGCCGTCCTTACCCCTGCTGCCTGCCAAATGACCTAGTTCTACCCCAGCCCCCAGGCCATAGACCCTCCAGCCCTGCTCCCAGCCGACCCATGACTGTCTTGGCCTGCAGCCTGGCCCAAGGCCCTGCTGGCCATGCTGACCTTGCTGCTGGAGTTGGCTGTCTATGGGCTGCTGACCTATGGCGTGGTGCACTGCTTCGGCCTGGAGGTGGACTGGGAGCAGCACATCGTTCGCTCCAGAACCAGTGAGTGCCAGCCGGGGGCTCAGAGGGTAGAGGCTGAACCATCCCTCCTCACACCCATTTCCTTCCGCAGACTTCACCTTCCACCAGTTCTCCCAGTGGCTGAAGACGGTGACCCTCCCCACCATGTGGCTGGGCGCAGCCTCTCTGGCCTGGGAACTGCTGACCGCCCTGTGGAGGTTTGTGGTGCCAGAGGGTGGGTGGAGCTGTGCAGGGCGGGCCCGACTGCATTTCTGTTCTCCGCCCCAGGTGGGTGCAAGTGCGAGGGTTGCTGCAGAAGCTCTGTGCTGCCGTCCAGCTGTCCATCTTTGGCACTGCCACGGTGGCTTTGTTCATGATCAGCCTGGTAGGTAGTGCTTTGGGGCTGGGGTCAGGAGTCAGGGGAGGGCTGGAAGGTCATTGCTGAGCCTCTGCCTGCCTGCCTCCAGGTGCCCTACTCCTACATGGAGCCTTCGAGCCATGGGCGCCTCTGGACTGGGGCCCACCGCCTGTTTGGCACCGTGGAGCACCTGCAGCTGGCCAACTCCTATGGCCTTTTCCGCCGAATGACTGGCCTGGGTGGGCGGCCGGAGGTGGTGCTGGAGGGCAGCTATGATGGGCTCCAGTGGACGGTAGGGGCTCCCTCAGGCCCCTGCCCGGGGTGCCTGGCGACCCCACAGGCCTGGGTGGGGAGAGAAGGGGGAGCCAGCCGTGCTGAAAGGGACTCTGCCCGGCAGGAGATCGAGTTCATGTACAAACCCGGGAACCTGAGCCGGCCGCCCCCGATCGTGGTGCCCCACCAGCCGCGCCTTGACTGGCAGATGTGGTTTGCGGCCCTGGGCCCCCACACGCACAGTCCCTGGTTCACCAGCCTGGTGCTCCGCCTGCTGCAGGGCAAGGAGCCTGGTGAGGCTGGGTGGAGGGGCGGGGCCTGTGGGGCGTCTGGGTGACCTTCGGGGGGCCTGGGGGCAGGCAGATGTTGAGGTCTTCCCCCTGCGCCCTCAGTGATCCGCCTCATCCAGAACCACACTCCCGGTTACCCCTTCCACAAGCAGCCGCCCACGTATGTGCGGGCCCAGCGCTACAAGTACTGGTTCTCGCATCCTTGGGAGCAAGGGTGAGTCTGGGCGCCAGGAGCGGTGCGGGGTCTGCGAGCTGGCCCCACCTGAGCCCCCCATGCCGTTGCAGCCAGTGGTGGCGACGACAGTGGGTGGAAGAATTCTTCCCATCCGTGTCCCTGGGGGACCCAACGCTGGATATGCTGCTCAGGCAGTTTGGCCTTCAGGTAGGAAGGAGTCAGGCAGGCAGAGGTAGGTGGCAGGGGTGACCCCGGCTCACAGGGACGACCCCCCGGACCCTCCTCCATCCTGTCCCGCAGGACAGAAGCCCGCCCCGGGCCCGCGGCTCCAGCAACACCCTGACCCAGGTCCTCTACTGGGTACGGAAACAGCTGTCTCACCTGGAGGCCCCCAGCCTGCTCTGGGGGCTCCTCGGGGCTGTGGGGGCCATCAAGGTCATGCAGGCCCTGCTGGCCCTGCCTCGGACCAAGGAGGAAAAGCACAAGCCAGCCCCCCAGGAGGACTCGGTAGCCGCCAGCAAGCAAGCTTCTCCAGCCCCCAACATCAGCAGCAGCTCCCAGACCCCCCGGCGGAAAAAGTAGCCGTGATCTGACAGCCACGTGTCCTGAGAGGGTCAGGGTCACGCTAGCCTCTGGCTCTCTGCCGCAGGACGGCCCAGCCACCGTGCCTTAGCCAGCTGCCATGCAGATGCAGGTCAGGGTGCTGGCCTGTGCGGGGTGCTAGCCCTTCTGCTTCAAGGGCATCCCCCCTACCCCCACAACGTCCAGTCCCAGGACACCCTCTGGCCTGCTCCATGGCCCAGGAGGCCTGTCTGTGACCTGGCCCAGGGTTCATCCCCAGACATGGTAATCGGGAGCTGTTGCCCTCTGCCCCCACTGCAGGGGTCCAAGTCTGAGGCTCCGATCCCAGCTCCTGCACCCGGGGTGGGGGTGGGGTGGGGGCTGAGGCTGACCTGCTGTGGAGAAGGAGAGACACCGCAAGGTCTGCTCTGCAGCAGCCAGTCTGGGCATCCAGATCCGTGAACCAATAAAGGCAATTGTGTCTGACCACATTCCTGCTGCTTCCTTCCCACGGGGAAGCCTGAGGGCAGTCGGCCTTCTCTGCCTCTGATGGTGGACACAGCCCACATACAGTCCAGCTGATTGCTGACCAGGCTTCCTAGGTGCCTTCTCGGTCTAGTCCTCAACGTTCCCATCTGTAAAATGGACACAAGGGCCTGGCCTGGCGCTGCCTGAGTCTCAGTCCAGCACAGCCTGCCCGACCTGTTAGCTCTGCGTCAGTACTGCAATGTGGGGCCTGAGACCATCTGAAGGTCGGAGAGTTGCCCAGAACACTGGCCCTCCCTGCTC